TCTTGTACAAAGGAGGTCAAGTAAGGAGTCTATGAAAAGGTTGTAATTTGCTGGTTATGGTTATGCTGTCTGTATGTGTGTATGATTTTTGTATTTGAAGTTATGAATATTGGCTATGTACTTGTATCTCAATGTGTTTGATTCGAAGTAGAATCAGTGAAGCATTTGGTCAGCTTCTTGAGAAAGAATTATTCTGAGTAAGTGCCCAATCAAGAAACACTTAACTGACAATGGACCCTGGAAGACTCCAATCCACATCTGAGGAGCCTTCCTGGGAACGTTCAAGCTCGCATGTAAGCAATGGCTGCCGCCTGCAAACTGAGTCATGCATGGACATGTAACTTGCCCATGTGACTCCAAACTCCATCTTGCTGCTGTGATTTTCCACTGTAAGAACAATGGGGTTTCCTTCCACATGGCAGAGGATATAAAAGGCCCTGGAAACCCCTCCATTTTGTCTTCAATCCTGCTTCTGACCTCTGGAGGAACTGTACTTGAAACTGAAGCTCTGAACAAAGGACTGAATGACACATCCAAGCTGGGATGTTTGTACCCCAGAGAGTTGATTGGTTTAAATCAGCAGTATTTCCCCAAGCCTGAACTAAGACATTTGCAATTGTTGTATGTATTTGATTCCATTTAACCAATTTTAACTCTCATCTATATCTTTCTTTTTATGAATAAACCTTTAGATTTTACATTCGAAAGGATTGGCAGCAGCATGATTTGTGTGTAAGATCTGACTGGTATATTGACCTGGGTCTGGGGCTTGGTCCTTTGGGATTGGGAGAACCTTTTTTCTTTTACCTGGGTATTGGTTTTCATAATCATTCATCCCCATAAGGAGTGGCTCTGGTGGTGATACTGGGAAACTGGAGTGTCTGAGGGAATTGCTTGTATGACGTCTGGTTAGCCAGTGGGGTAAAACCAAAGTCCTCTCTGTTTGGCTGGTTTGGTGTGCATTAGTAGTGAAGGATCCCCAGCCTTGGGCGGTGACTGCCCTACTTGTCCTGAATTAATACTCTTAGTAGTGTCCTGCCAGCGGCCACTTTGTTACAATAGGGAAGGAGGTTCTTGTGGCTAAGGCAAAAAACTGGACTCCAGGAAATAGCTTTGCTGTTGGCTTGTTGTGTGGCCTTGGGTCACTTATCTTATCACTTGAGTTATGATCACTTAGGCTGAGGTTTTCAAAGCCCACTAGGGCAGGAGTTCTCAAACTGGGGGTCACAAGGTTATTACATGGGGGGTCACGAGCTGTCAGCATCCATCCCAAACCCCACTTTGCCTCCAGCATTTATAATGGTGTTAAATATATAAACAAGTGTTTTTAATTTATAATGGGGGGTCACACTCAGAGGTTTACTATGTGAAAGGGGTCACCAGTACAATAGTTTGAGAAACACTGCACTAGGGGATTTAGCCACACAGTTCCTATTACCATTAAATTAATGGAAGTAAATGGTAAGGGGGATGTAATGCAATGCCAGACTAACCCGATTTGCTTCTTTGAAAAATAACTCTTTTTTTAGATAGGGGAAGTGCAGTAAATCCAATATACATGGACTTCAGTAAAGCATTTGACACTTTACCACACTGGAAATTACTAGTTAAGTTAGGGAGGATGGGGATCAGTACAGAATTGTTAAGTGGCTAAGGAACTGGCTAAAGGGGAGAAGACAATGGGTTGTGCTGACAGGTGAATTATCAGACTGGAGGGAGGTTACTAGTGAAGTTTGCCAGAAAAAGTAAGAGTGCGTTAATGAAATTTGCTGATGGTACACAATTGGGAGGCCTTGTCAATACAGAGTAGTATTGTACAGGAAGATCTGGTTGATCTCGAAGACTGGAATGAGAGAAATAGGATGAAAATTCAGTAGTTCAAACTGCAAGGTCAAACACTGAGGGTCTAATAATAAGAATTTCTGCTACAAGCTGGGGCTCATCAGTTGGAAGCAACAGAGGAGAGAGACCTGGGTGTGTGGGTCGATCACTGGGCTATTGGCCACCGATATGATGTGGCTGTGAAAAAGGCCAGTGACATCCTAGGCTGTATCAGGCGAAGCATTTCCAGTAGAGATAGAGAGATGTTCATGCCATTGAACAAAGCATTGGTAAGACCTCATTTGAAGTACCTTGTACAGTTGTGATCACCCGTGTTCTAGAAAGATGAATTCAGACTGGAACCAGTGCAGAGAAGAGCTACTAAGATGATCAGTGGAATGGAGGGCCTGTTTTATGGGAGGAACTGGAAGAGCCTGGCTTGTTCAGTCTAGCAAACAGAAGGCTGAGAGGCGATCTGATTGCTCTATGTAAATACATCAGGGGGTAAATACCAGGGAGGCTGAAGAGCTATTTAAGCTAAAGGGCAATACTGGCACAACTACAAATGGGTATAAACCGGCCATGAACGAATTCAGACTGGAAATGAGAAGGTGTCTAACCACCAGAGGGTGAGATTCTGGAGCAGCCTCCCAATCAGAGTTGTGGGCAAAGCACTTAATTAGTTTTAGGAGATAGCGGAACAGATTTTTCATTGTGATTGTATGATAGGGCTGGTTGTGGTGGTAGGGGGCAAGGCTCAGAAGCCCTGGGGCTCATTTCCAGAATATGTCTTATATTTCTGAAGAGCGTGCTTCAGGGTTTCAGCTGCCTACCTGCAGGGGTTAGGAAGGGATTCTCTCCCCCCTCCCCTCCCCCAGTGTATTCAGGGGTGGGATTTTTTGTTTATCATCTTCCTCTGAACCGTCAGGGCTGCTGTCTAGGGTGACCAGATAGCAAATGTGAAAAATCAGGACAGGGGGTAGGGGGTAATAGGAGCCTATATAAGAAAAAGATCCAAAAATCGGGACTGTCCCTATAAAATCGGGAATCTGGTCACCCTACCATGGCCAGAGATGGGACACTGGGCAGGGCCAGGGCTCTGAGGTGGCTCCGAGCATTCTCTGTCTCAGGTGCTTGGCTGGATGTTTCTTTCTCACGTGTTCAGGGTCTAACTGATCACCACGTGTGGGGTTGGGAAGGAATTTCCCCCTAGGTCAGATTGGCAGCAACCTTGGGGTGTTTCACCTTCCTCTGCAGCATGTGGGTCGCCTGCCAGGATTATCTGGGTCTATCTCACTTCCTCATTTCCCTGCTGTTGCGGAGGCCTCAAGTCCTGCTGTACCTCGGTCCCTCCTGTTCTATGCCTGTGGCACATAATACTCCAGTCTCCTGTGGGCTGTAATACTTTGGTCTATTTTGGTTGTTGGGTTTAGCGTGCGGTGCTGGGTGAGGATGGATGGCCTGTGATATGCTGGAGGTCAGACTAGGTCTGTGGTTCTCAGCCTGTTTACCATTGTGGGTCGCACATGAAGCTATCTGTGTTATGTGGGCTGCATCCACACAATGTATATATACGACCTGTATGGCCCTGAGGATGGGCCACAGCTGTGTGCTGATTGGGCCGCAGGTTGGGAACCACTGGACTAGGTGATCTGATGGCTCCTTCTGGCCTTGAAATCTGTGATGAACATGAATATTTGTGTGGCTAAATCTCACTAGTCGGCCTTGAAAACCTGAGCCTGACCTGCTCTGTCACCAGTGTGCTGTGAGGAATTGGTCATTCATTTGAAAAGCAGGGTGGGATTTTGTGATGAAGATGCTGGATAAGTACTAGTTGAGATCTGACTGGGTTGTTCAGCTTATCCTATGTTACCTAGAGTGTGCTGAGCAATTTTGATGATGCAACAATGACTCCTTCAGCAGGATTGCAAGTACAAAATTGTTATCCTCTTATCTGTTTTCTTCTTCTTCTCTCTCCAGCCAAACATTTCATCCTGTGAGTGTTAGCGCAGAGCTTCTTGTCTTTAATAATGCCCCCTAGACCAGGGTGGATAAAAATTAATGGCTTTTTTAAAAATGGATTTTTTAATTTAAATTAAATACAAGTTTATTTTTAGAAATCTTATGTGAAATTATGACAGCATGTATTAAGGTCTAAATTTAATCGATTAAAATCATATAAATTACATTTAAAAACATAAGGAGTATATGTTTACTGCCAAAGTTTTCAAGAAAGTCAAATCACTGAACAGATAGAAATCACGGGCTAAGCACCTGCAACCAGAAAAGTAGCATTTTCTGCAGGTGCAGCGAGAATATTTTCTTCATTTCCGTGTATTTAACTAGTTTAGTTCAATGATTAGTTCATGCAGAGTTAAAAACCAGTAGGAAGATGAAAAAGCAGGAAAGCTTGTTTTCCTCTTCCAATCTATTAATAAAAACTAGGTCTGAGAGGATATCTGTCGGAATCTGATACTTTGAAGGACACAGTGATAGGAAACAATCAATTTCATTTACTAACTACAAATAATACTTCCTTGCATTAATAAATCAGTTCTAAATGCAAACCTTGTTTTGATAAACTTTTTTTCTTGTATATCCAGCACATTTAAGGTAGATTTATTTAACTAATTTAAAAAATGAAAATGCTATGGGTTTTTTGCATTTTTAATTGCATTCAAATTCCCATCTAAACAGAATTTGACACTAAGCACAAGTAAAAAAAATTAATCATCTGGTAAATAAGAAATGCATTATCCACCATTTTCTAACATCATGAAAATGTAAAAAATAAGAATCTGTATAAATGTAATTTAAGCGGTGTAATTGCTTAAATAAATGTGTATAGACACAGTGTATCTTCTTGGTTCATAAAAAAAGCACTAAATTTTGCATAAAGGGTATATTTAGTTGCAACTCAACGTGTTTTAATGGTTGTCAACCAGTGAGAATCAACCTTTTTTTTTAGGAAAATAACTAAAAAGTACAAATGCAAAACACAGTTAAAATGAAGGAAAATCAAGGTTTCCTGCTTGCTGATTTAAATCATGATTAAAATCAGTGATTTTAAAATGCTTTGATTTAAATCAGCTCACCCTGCTGTAGACTACAGAACTACCCAGTAGTTGTTGCTGCTGCAGCTTCATTTATAACCTGGTTCTTTCGTTTTCATTCCCTAGGTCCAGCTGGGAACTTCCTGACTTGCGAGAAGGGAGAGTAAAAGCCATCAGTGACTCTGATGGTGTGAGCTACCCCTGGTATGGGAACACCACGGAAACGGTGACCTTGGTTGGGCCCACTAACAAGGTCTCCCGGTTCTCAGTCAGTATGAATGACAATTTTTACCCCAGCGTGACATGGGCTGTCCCTGTGAGTGACAGCAATGTACCACTGCTGACCAGGATTAAGAGGGATCAGAGCTTTACCACGTGGCTAGTAGCCATGAATATGACCACCAAGGAGAAGATCATCCTGCAGACTATAAAGTGGAGGATGCGTGTGGACATTGAAGTGGATCCCCTGCAGCTCCTGGGGCAGCGAGCACGACTAGTGGGAAGGACTCATCAAGAGCAGCCCCGGATTCTGAGCCGAATGGAACCCATCCCGCCAAACGCACTAGTGAAACCCAATGCCAATGATGCCCAAGTCCTCATGTGGAGACCTAAACGAGGCCAACCTTTGATAGTGATACCTCCCAAGTAGATGGTGTGTGGGCGTGCATGCATGAGGACGTCATTGCTGTTGGTATGGTGCAAATGAACTGGATTTCTGAGCCAAAGCAGACCTCTGGTGAATGGAAACCGAGTTCCTCCTTATTCAGAAAGAATATGGTACTTGATAGTGGCCAAAGCTATGTCACAAAAGAGGAATTGCACAGCTGGTGGACTTCCGATGACATACCTGGGGGATTCTGTACTTCCAGGGTATTTTGGCTGGAAGAGGCTTTCTTATCTGAATAACTCATATTCCCTTGCCATAACATGCAAGGAATGAGAATATGATTAAACAGTGCCTGTGGCAAATGCTGCTTCCCAACCAATTAGATGTAGAAATGGAGACCATGCACACCAGATGTTCATGGTCTCCCAGTTCGATCCTACTGTCTGACCGATGGGGCGGGGTGTTACCACGTTTTTATACCTATGCAGTTTTGATTGATAATCAAATGATCACCTTGCTCATTGGAACTAAAAGAATGTTTACAAAGGGGGGAGGGGGGAATAACAACCCATACCATCTGTTCCACTTAGCTACAGACAAGCTCTGAGTCCACAAGGAACTGTCCAAGGTGCTGAACTGAAGAACAATGTGAACTACCTTCCTCTTCCCAAGAATAATTTCTTCAAACAGATTGAATTAAGAAATTTTGCATGCATCTCAGTGTGTTTCAAGTAGTTGTGAATGTAGGAGCTGCCATAGGTCTTTCCATCCTTTGAGTGAAATCCAAGGGAAATCTAGATGTAATTTAGTTCTAAGATACACTAATCTTTCCTGGCCCTCCATTTCCCTCTCCCTCAAGCCCTTTTTTTAAAGAAGCAAAAATAATTCTCAGTAAAATGACAAATTATGAGCAATGTCTGTTCACCCAGCAAAGGGAGAACCAGGGAGATGTTGACTGTTTGCATGATGTCCAAAAGGCTTGGACGTCCTCCAGGATTCAAATACATAAGTCCATTGCAAGAAGCTGGGGTTCTTGCTCGTTTTCCATATGAATAGCTGTTCATGTGGAAAGCCACATCCCTAACTGCCTGCAGAGCAGCATAAATAAAGGTCTGCACACAGCGTGCTTCCAGGCCCCAGGGCCTGCCTTTGGAGCCATGGCACTAGGCCATGGGGACTGCCTGTGTGTCTGTTCGCTGGGGCAAAGGGAAGCGTTTGCACCACCTTCAAGGGGAAAGGATAGTTGTTCATGAAAACTCCTCTGAGGTGTCCCCTCCTGCAGCAACAAAACAGTAGCTTCCGAGAAGGATGGTTAGACGTGCACGTCTGTGAGTGAAATGCTCCTCTAGCCAGGCACCAGTGCATGGCTGAATCTGTCCGGGGAAGGTGCGGGGCTGTTCTCTTTGGGAATAAGCCTGAGCTTCACTCTCTGATGAGGATGTTTGGGGGTGGGGGGTAACAGGATCTTTGCTTTTTAAGGGCCATCACCACTGGGAGTTTCTTCAGCACCTGACTCAATGGCATCCCAGTTGGTTGCTGTGAAGGTGATGGTGATGTCATGACCGGAGTGGGGAGAAATGCTGTGGGTCATAAACTCATGGAGTTTCCTACTCGTTCTTCCTCTCGGGGTGTGATGCACCTCTCCTCTCCCTATCTCTGTCCTCCAGCAGGTTCATCATGTTAGGCTGTCTTGGAGGATATGCAGAAGGAAAAGGGTGTCTGCATTCCTGCTGGCCCCTGGACAGCATTGCTGCCCCAGGAGCCTTGTCAGGGAAGAGCCATAGCTCAGAGTGGGAGCCGTGCAAGGGATTATAGTCATAACTTGTGCTGTTTTCCCCCATGCATACTGACTGGCTCTTTCATCTGGGCCCTCCAGTGTAGGGGAGCTGGCTGCCTGGTGGGTGGAGGTATTCCAGCAAGGAACAGAAGTAGCAGTGCTACCACCTTCTGCGCACAGATGCAGAGGGCAGGGAAGTCAGGTAGAGAAGAAGGTGCAAAGTCTTAAAAGCAAAGCTTCTGGTTTTCCCATCTCAGTCACCAGGAAACAAAACAAACAAGCAAAAAAAAAAGAGAAATGCAGAAAATGTGTGGTTTATAAACAGAATGTGCTTTACCATTTTAAGGCACTGCTAACTACTCAGCCCAGTGTGACTAAGAGATGATCTATAGCATTTTTACCCAGCTACTAATTTAAAAGATATCTCTGCGGGATGTCCAGGGACTCCCTTAGTATTGACTCCAATCCAGAGGAACTCTTATCGAGTCCTAGATATTGTGAAATGATACTGATTCATTCTGCATGGAAACTGCTGTATCTGCCCTTCCAGCATGAGCCCAGTGACTTCTTGAAACCTTGGATTATTGCTCTGAAAAGCAGTTAATCTCTCAGTAATAGGAAGATAAAGTTTCTGTTATGTGAATTTAGGCTTCTGAACAAAGAAACCACTCATCATAATTCCACGGTTCAAAGATCTCCATTATGCCTGCCTTCATTCAGAGCATCTCCTACTGAACACCATTCATGTGCTGTGTGTGTTAGTGTACATGGTGGTAGGTTCTCCTGACAGTTTTGTAGAAAACCCTTGTTACAGTATTAGCCCTGCTTTTCTGAGCTTGATTTTTAAGCTGATTTCAGTGGTGATTTCACTGCTTTGAAATCCAGGGCTCCGCTCTCCTTTTTACGGAGTTGATGTTTTGCTGCATTTTCCCCACTTTGCTTATGAGCCTCATGCTTTTTGCGTCATAGGGGTCATACAGGACCTCCATAGGTGCACTTGGGTGTCTGGTACGTTCAGGGCTTCTGTGGTCTCTGTGCAGGCTAAGCCCCCTTTGAGATCACTGGGAACAGTACCTGCCCAATGATGCCAGGGTCTTTTGAGCAAACCTCTCTGGAATTTGAATCTTATGACCAGGGTACAGAGTAGCTACTGAGGACCCACAGAGGAGATGAAGTGCGTGTGAACTGAAATCTGTTGGGGAGGTTTCTTCTTCACCCCAGGAAAGGTCTCTCTGTGCTGTGTCCCCCTGCCCTGGACACCTTGGCCTTCAGCAGAGCTGCTCTGAGTAGAATCAGCGGAAAGAGCGCTGCAGTGTCATGCATCCGTTAATGCCATCCCAGTCAGCCTTAATTCACACAGAGTCACCAGCTTGCCTCAGCTGCCCTGCATCCCTGTGGCTCCTGTGTACCTCCTATAGCCTATCTCCATCCTTGGGTGGTGCACCGGCAGCCTTTCTCTGCCCATCCCTTGGTAGCACCTGCAGATACACAGGACTGCCAGGTTTCCACAGGGTGAGTTTGAGAACTCCATGCTGTCACCAGTTCATGGGCCCCCGCAGGCACAGGCATGGCCTCCCTGCTCAGGGCAGATCCTTCAAAGCTGCTGAATTTTCCCCAGACCTTCAGCTCTCTGGTGCGGCTTTCAGGCAGCTGGAGTGCATGACACTATGCCCTTAAAACTGGCATGGAGAAGTAGGTTGTTTTCCAAGCTCTACCCCACACCTATTATATGCAGCTAGTAGACTCTGGTCTTACCCCTCACACCACTGTAGACCAAAAATCCCATGTTCTTGTCTCTCTATTTATTATTCTCAGTAATATTTGTTGTTAGTTATTGATTTCTTATCCTTTTGTACACCAGAAATGTTGAATTCAAAATTCATTTTCAGCTGTGGTGGCCTAGTTTACAGCCTCTGAAAGCAACCTACTTATTTAGGTGCCTAAATATGGAGGTAGCTGTCTAAGAGCTTGCTGAAATTTTTCATACAAAAGTTTTTCAGGGAAAAATTGGCTTTTTTTTATGATGAAACTTGACATGGAAAAATTGTTGGCATGATCAGAATTTTCCATTTTTTGACATTTTTTGTGTCTTATTTACATTTTAATTGGAATGTTATCAAAATATTTTTTAAATCATTGTTGATATTTAAAATGTAGTTTTTAAAACATGGAAAATTTTCAAACCAATTTTGGTTAAAAACAAACAAAAAACCCCAAAACTCAAATGTTGAGAAAAATGGAAATGGGATGTGTTTCTGACTCTGTGAAGTGGAAACAACGTCAGCATTTTTCACAAAATACATTTCCCATTTCTCAGTCAGTTCTAGTGTCCAAGTTTGGAAAATTTTAGCCTGAAGTTATAAGGTTTGGGGCCAGAGGCTCAGCTGTTGTAAAGGTGAGACTCTGGAGCTACATCTGTTTGGTGCTGGATCCCGCCCCTGAATCCGTTCTCATTCCAAACTCTCTCGACTCTACAGATTTTGCTCTGCCCCTCATTTTGGGCTTCCTGCCCAATCATTTTAAAGTTCATGTCCTGCATTTTGGTCTGGAAGATTGAGACTGGAACCACAATTTGGGCAACCATTGCTCCCCATTTTAAGGAGAAACCCACAATACCACCCAGCTTCTCAGAATTGCTAAAAGGCCAGAGGAATGCAATCGCTAATGAAATCAGTGTTGTGGGAGTGGATTTAAAATGCAAGCCTTTAGAGGAATTCTGGGAGAGCAGTAGTTGCACAGCTGGAATCTGACAGCTGAGAGATTTGGAATCTGTTGTTCTCGAGCTAATATCCCTGACACAAAAGCTGTGAGGTGAAGCTGGTTAAACCTGTTGCTTGTGGAAATGACTTTGCCAAGCATATGTGAAAGCAGAAATAGCCTCAGAGGCAGAGGGGCCAGTGAGGCATTTTGATCTTGCTGGGGTTGCATGGGTTTATTGAAATGGAACAAAACCAATGTCAGACTCTATGCTCAGTGCACAAAGATGTGAATGCACCTGCACCTCTGAGCTAAAAAGATGGTTAATCAAAGCCATGGAAGCAGCTGAAATACCACATTCATCAAGAGCTTTCTTGGATAGGAAAGAAAAGAAGTTAGTTAGCTCAGAGAGATGCTGTTAACTTCACTGCAGGGACATTAGTGCCCATAAGTTCTTCAGGGTCTGTAGGCCCCACTGAGCCTGTGCCCTCCGTGGAAAATCTCCTGTTAAAAGACAGGTTTTCACAAGAGCTGAGCACCCTCGCAGCTCCTGTCGTGCTCAGTTTGTGTTTTCCTGTGGAGGACTTTCCAATTGTTCCTAACAGGAGCTGCTGGATGATCTGGAACATTGGCTCCCAAATGTTTAAGTATGGTGGCTCCCTGACAGATATGTTAAGGCTTGATGGCACCCCACCAGTGAAGACAGTTGCTTTTCCCAACTCAGGACACCAGATGCAAAGGGGACATCAGAGTTAGGATGGTTTTGTGACTTTATTCAATTCTATACAATTTGTTAATGATCTAATCAGATTTAATCTGGGGGTTTTAAACTATAACTGGAAACTACGGTTTTTGGGGTGTGTTGGGACAGAGTCTGAGCTTGTTGTGAGACGAGCAGGCCTGTTTCGAATGGCAGAGCTGCGCACTGTTTGGTTGAATCTCTAATAGCACCAGACGTAAGTTGTTTTTGAAGTTTAAATGATTTCTGTTTGGGTTTCACAGGAGCCATTGCTGAAAACCCTGGCTCTGAGATCCCTGGAAGTGATTCAGGGATTCCTGGCTTGTTAGATTTGAAAACTTGTTCTTCAGTGCATGATCACTTGACAGTTTTAAGATGCACCTGTCTCTCTATCAACCCCCTTCCCCTCTCTGCTGCTACCAGAGCTGGAGGCCTCTCTTTGTCCTCTGCACCAGCAGGGCCTCTCAGCTGAGAGGCTTCCAGCTGCCTGCTTCCCCAGCAAGGAGTCTCTCAGCTGAAGGCCCCCTGCCGGAGTGGAGTGCACAGAGAGGCCACCAGCAGCAGCATAAGACACAGACCCGTAAATAAAAAACTGGTGATTTTTAAGCCTAGCTTAATAGTCTTTTAATTAGAAAAACAAAAACTGGCTTAACAATTACATTTTCCCCCAGACATTCATGGCTCCATCATGAACCCCAAAGGATCCCTGGCTCACAGTTTGGGAAGCACTGGTCTGGAAAACCTGGGCCCAGCTGTGGGCGCTTGGCCCATTTGTTAGGAGCACTTGTGGCCAAATGGCTAAGTTTGAGGTTGGCATCTGGTTTACATTGCCCAGCCCTAGTGCTTCGTTTACTTTGCTCCTGCCAATCCCTGGGCTTGTTTAGGGTTGCCTGGTGGAGCAGATCTGGGTGCTGTCAGATAGCTTTGGAAAAGCCCTGTGGGGAATATGGCCAGTGATTGGCGCTCGGTTCTTAGCTCTTTTTAGGAAGGGGCCTTGTGAAGAAAAAGGTTCCTGTGCATTCTCTGTTTGGGAGAGGCAGCCTCTCCTAGCTGGGCTCCCCATTAGCCATCCAGCCATGCCCACCGCTCCTCTTCTGAGTCAGCTGCTATTGTTTAGCATTGCAGCTGCAGGGAACGATCATGGCCAGATACAGTTTACAGCTCTGATCTCTGCTGCTCCTAGGGTTTGAAGACACTTCAGCACTTGCCATATTGAAAACACAGAGGGATAAACCCTGGCCCCATTGAACTCCATGAGAGTTTTGGCAGTTGACTTTAACGGAGCCAGGATTTCACCCTAAAACTTTAATGATCACAGGTCCCCCGCTAAGCCTGGTCTCACAAGAGTGGTGTAAGGTAGCAGAAATCTTGCCCTGGTACGGGGAAGAGAATGCTGATCGATTCTATTAACTTATTTATTCAGCTGCTTATTTTTTTAGAGTGGGTTTTCGCTGAGCTTCTAGTATACATGTAAATTAAGGACCGCATGCTCCAGTTGGAATGGGCACAACTGCACAGGGTCTTGACTGTAGAACCTAGGAGAGAGACTGAGGCCAGGTCTACACTGCAGAGTTAGGTTGAGGTGAGGCAGCTTATGTCGATCTAATTATGTCAGTGTCAGTTTAAAATGTCACTACAGCCTTGCTCCTGGAGATGTAAGTACCCTAATACACTGACATAGTAACTCCACCTCTACAAGAGGCGCAGGACGTACGTTGGTGTAGTTAGGGTGGGACATTGCGTTACTTACATTGGCTGTTGGTTGTCATTCTTATCAATTTCACAGCTCCTGGGCTCACAGCTGGAGCCCCCGCCCTGCACTCTGGGGTTGACAGCCCCAGCTGTGGGCCCCTTGCAGGACTCAATTTCACAGCTTGGAGCCTACCAGCCTATCTTGTCAATTTCACAGCTTCAGCTGTGAGCCCTGCTGCTGCTCTGAGCCTGAGGGAGCCATGAAATTGACAAAAAGGCTGGTAGGCTCCCTGCTGTGAACCCGGTGCCAGGCTCACAACTCAGGCTGTCACCTCAGAGTGGGTGAAGGGCTCCAGCTGTGAGCCCAGCTGCTGCCTGGGTTCTCCGCTCCCTATTCCCCAAGCTGGGCTCCCAGGTCCCCAGTGTGGAGCTCCATGTGGAGCTGAGAGTCTGGGCTCTCAGCCTGCCACACTGCCCCTCTTACATAGGTGCATGCACTCCTGGTGAGGACGCTCACCACTGACAAGAGGGTAGCGTGGACATGAGAAACCACAGTAATTACCATTGTGGCTAGAAGTTGACCTAAGATAGGTTTAGTTTATTGTGTAGTGTAGACAAGCCCTGATTCCCCAGTATTGTGTGTCTAGCTTTAAAGTCCCACGAGATATCACCCCATTCAGTCAGAAAAGTATCAGTATTTTGACTGAGCAGGGCAAAAAGCCACCTTTGCAATTTCCTTCTCTGCAAGCAAGGGAGGAATCTGGAGGACGTTGCACTCTCATTGTAGCACATTGGGGGAATTGGAAACAGACCTTGCCGTTATAGGCCTGCGTGAATGCTGCAGTGTCCACTCTGCAAGGAGTTACAGCTGCAAACCGTGGTGCTCTCACTTTGCCACTTTATGTATAGTTCCCTTCCCCCTCCTAAAGACCGGCTGCTTTCCCATTTTTGATTAATGGATTTTATTATTTAATTAGGTTTGATTTATAGATTGACCCCATCAGACATTCCCAGGGTGTATTTACATAGTGAAGCATAATTACTTAACCTCTGATTTGCTGAGTTATTGGGATCCATGTAGCTCCATTGACATCAGTGGCATTGACTAACTTATACCAACTGGGGTTCGGTTCCATGATGATTCTCATTCCTCAAGCTTCCCCCCCAGGGGTCATTTTGCTCTAGTTTCTGCAAAATGTAAAGGGCAGCGACTCAATAAATGGCTGGGTTTTTTGGTTAATTTTAATGTTTATGAAAATCAGAACTGAACTGTCCAGATACAGGTACAATGTCAGTGTCCCCTGCGCTCTGTTCCACGGTTGTACCTCAGTGCTGACCTGAACCACTGCCGTCTGGCCCAATACTGGGTACCATCCCCCTAGTGTATCACCACTACTGCTCTCTAACGTGCTAGGCCCCTGCCTGTTCCCTCCGTAGGCCTTTCCAAAGCAGCAGTTTCCAGTCGTGAGCAATTGTGTGGTATGATGTGGACAAATGTCCATTGCGCACCAAGAGTTGAGGCCCAGCACTATAGCTTTGCTTGTGACCAAAGACTAATTTGAAACCAGGTCTTCAGGGGAGGGAGTCTGGTGCAGCAGCTCCCTCTATCATGGTGGCTTCTGTTTGGTCTCTGCTAAGTAGGAAGATTTATGCAAAATTTGGAAGGAGCCAGTCTTCAGAGAGTGGGCTAAGGAGTAGACACATCTGCCATCCATTAAACATTATAATTAAGGCTAAGATTTAGTCTTAGCAAAAGTCATGGTCAGGTCATGGTCAATAAACAAAAATTCACGGCCCCTGACCTCTCCATGACTTGTACTATACCCCTGACTAAATCTTTGGTGTGATGGAAGGTTCTGGGGGTGCAGCTGCTACTCTGGAGTGGGGACTCTGGGGCACCTGCTGGTACTGAAGGGAGGCTGGTGGGTGGGGGGGCTGCCTGGAACCACGTCAGCCACTGCTGGCGGAGGGTGGCCCGGGACCATCACCGCTGCTGCTGGCGGGGGCCTGTGACCGCTGCACTACTGCTGGCGGGGGGGGGGCGCGCCCAGGACCGCCACTGTTGGTGGGGGGGGGCAGTGAGGCTGGCCCTGGGGCCGCCTGAGCTGCTTGGGAGGCCCTGGGGTCAGTCGCACCTGCCGCTTGCAGAAGTCATGGAGATCCTGGAAAGTCACAGAAGCCTTAATTATAATTACTGAGACCCTTAAAGAGAAATACCAACCCCCATCCCTGGAACCTTTTGTTTTTACTTGAAACTCTCCGAGTATTCCAGAGCTCTGCACATCCATCAGGAAAAGCACTTCTCGAGAGAGCCCCTCACGCAGGGAAATGAAGGGAAAAAGGCAGCTTTCACTGTGGTGCCCTTTGTGGAAAGCGGGATATTTCTTATAAAACGATTTTGAAAAGCTTATGAAAGTTTTGCACTAAGCCACTACAGCAAACCTTAACAGAGAACCAGGGTCACAGGCAGAGAGTGAAATACTTTTTTCGCTGGGCTTTACACACCAACTTTGTGAGTTTTTGTGCATGGCACATATGGAACCTGTGTAAGCAATAATGCATGTCCCCTTATCCATATCAATCCCCTCATCCCCGCAGTGTGTTGTGAGGTTGCAAGTGTTTGGCATGACTGCTCCTGCTGGAGTTCTTATTAAGAGGTTAATGGCTAGGTCCTGTTCCTGCCTAGTCACGTCTTCATCAGCCAATCATCTTGCTCTTTTAGAACAGCTTTCTGGGTTAAGCCCAAGGGCGGGGATTTGAGAGACCTGGGATTTGTTCCCAGCTCAGTGGCAAATCACTTAATTTTCCATAGTTTCCCCATTTGCAGTAGGGGGATAACAGTATTCCTGGGGCTTGTAGGGCTACATTGTGAGAATAAATTCATTTGTACGGTACTGCTTTGAATTCTGTGGATGGAAGATGCTTTGCAAGTGCAAAATGTTAGGATAATAACCATTTTATTGATACGTTCATGTATGTTTCTTAAGGTTCTCTATCATTGGTTTTTCTATCGCGTCCATCACCATGTTATCTAAGCATCACACAACAAAAATATTAAAGCAAACAAGATCAGGTTGCAGGGAGCGATCTAGCTACCAACGGATCCAAATCAGTGACAACAAACAGCTACATAATTCATATAGTACTCCTGAGCAGATTAGAGAATATTTATCTGGTGCAATCCAGCCCCTCCTGCATCTCATCTCATCTCAAGCGGAGACGTTTCCTGCTTTGTCATTGTCTTGAGCCAAACAGTGTATACAGAACCATTGCAGAGTCATGTTTCAGGTGCATCTGTGTTGCACGTTCAGGACAAGGGATACTTGGTAGTTTGTCTCAGCAGACACTGCTGGGTGGGCATACGGATGGGTTTGATATAGATATCACACTTTCTGCATGGTCAGACATTTTAGACTGGCTGCTAGTACAGCTCTGCCTTTTACCTGAGATATTTTTGAAATCCCATTGGGGGAAGATAATTTTCTTTTCACTCAGCAGAGAGGGTCTGGATTCACACTGGGATCTCTCAGATGGGTCTTTATTACAGTACAGTAGAAGAAGAGCCAGATCAGAATGGGCATGAGATACGTAGAGTTAGATAATTACTAAGTTTCTGATCCGGAGCCCGTTGAAGTCTGTGGGGGTCTTTCCATTGACTTCAGTCGGATGTACATCAGGCCCTAAGCAGTGAGCATGCACGGAGGCACAGGCTGTAATCAGCAAAGCCCCCAGAGATGGAATATCACCAGATCAGAGCATTTCCTGTTGGAAACTCTTGGTTTCCTTTCTACTGCCCGTTCTTGTAGCCAGCATCTCGTATCTCAGGGAAGGATAGGGGGATCTAGTTCTCAGAAATAGGAACCTGCAAACTTCCTCCCATTGCTAGAACCAAACCGGAATGCCGGGACTTTCGGAAGGGTCTCAGGTGTTGGGTTACCCTTCCTCCCCTCTGACATTTCATGTTCACAGCCGTGCCTCTGCTTCACTGAGTTCCACTGGCTGCATCAGTTATGCCCCCAAAAGCTGCTCTCGCAGCAGGCTCACAGCCAGAAGCCAGAGGAGCTGTAAGCCTCACAAGAGAATCTGTTCTCATGACATGTCCAGGCAGATTTTGCTGACCCAGGGTGGGGGATTAGAAGAAGCATCTGATTCAGCCATCACCAACCAAACGCAACATGCCTGCATGAGACCGCTTTGAGTCACACTGTGGCAGCTGTGCACCCTAAATCCTTAGACACTATGCACAAGGTATTGCCTTTATGCTCTAGAGGAGTTTTCATAAAAAGTGCACGCGTGTGTGTTCTGTAATGTCGGGATATATATTTGTGGGTGTGTCTCACACAGCGAAACCCTCCTGTAGGAATGCACTTGCTTTCTGAAAAGCAAACCAACCCTTCGCCAGAATTGCATTTGAAAAAATTTGGGACTTTCCAGTGTAACTGTAAGCTGCTTCCACTTTATGTATGTATGTATTTATGTATGTGTGTGTGTGTATTTATTTATTTATTTATTTATTTATTTGCATTTTACTTTTGTAAACCACCAGCCCATTGAAAGGCCTCTGGGCCCTGTGTGAGTTTGAAAAAAACCCTTCTTTTAGGGAAAATGTGTGTTTGGCTGCAGTCGACAGCAATCCGGACACACTTGCCCAGAGTTACCCAATTCCCACACCCTTAGCATTGACTTCACCTGGCCCCAATCTTCCCTGTACAACAACATGATAAAACACGGTGAACAAAAATCAGGTAAACCCCAATGCAAAATAAAACCCCAGGATCCTCCTCCTAGAAACCTGGGAGCAGTTGGCTACTCTGATCCTTTCTCCATTTCTTATTTGTTTATTGCCGCTATCTTCCTTTATTGTTGTTTTTTTTCCCCCCTTTTTGACTCATGCTGTATTTGATGTTGCCAATTTCCGGAGATGATGATAAGAGCAGGAGCATGTGGGTGTTACTTTGGAGAAAAGAAAAAAAAATCGGGTATTCTGCTGCAGCGTTGGGAAAATCAGAAGGAAGAAAAGACGAAAGCTGGTTTTGCAGAGTGCCTTAAACAAAAATGACTTTAACGAGTAGGGGGGTCTGACTCTTCTGTCTTTGGATGTTGTTAAAAACTCAAACAGATGTTGCATTTCACTTCTCTGGGATTAAAAAAACAGTTCAGTATGTGTTTCAAACAAGTGTCTTCTTTGAATGTTTGTGGGTTTTCTTAAAGATGTGGTACCATGTGCCTCTGGGAGTGAACAATACAATGGCAGCAGATGCAAGGAAAATATTCATCTTAAAATAAACTCCCGTGTGGTCTGAGAAGAGAGAATTGTGGTGAGCAGCAAGGAGCCAAACTAAGGGTGCATCTCATTTAGCTTTGTGAAATGTCCTTGGTTGGCTTTTGCAGGTGTCTCCGTTTTATCCCATCTCCCAGCACACTGTTGTTGGTCTAAACAGCGGTTGGTTTACAAGGCTTTCTCCTGGGGAGTTTGATCTTGCAAGACCTAATTCAAAACCAGACATGGCTTGGATCCAGCTCCTGTTTAGCCAAAACCTGAAAGTTCAGGTACCAGAGGACTTCAGATGCCAGGTTCTGGTTTTAGCCCATCTCTCATGGCTAATATGGAGCTCTGTCCCTGTCTCTCAGTCGGTTGCACTAAGGGTGGTGGTTATTGAGTTACATGTTTTTCTGAAATGTGACTAGAAAGAAGGCTCTTCGAGCTGAGGTTCTCAAAGTGGCTGCAAATTCAAGGAGGGGCTTCATGAATGTAGATCCCACTTGGATTGCAGTGGGACTACACACATGCATACACTGAAGCACGTGTGAAAGTTTTTTTGCCAATGTGGCTACTCATGCTTAATGTTAGCCACGTGCTTAAGTGCTTTGCTGAATCAGGCCCAAATCCTGAGACCTTATTCCTGGGCAAATGGTTGTGGAATCGTGCTAAAGATCTCAAGGACCAGAATTGACTGGGAGGGTCTCAGTTGTAGGCCCTGATGGACAGCCCTCCTTATACTTTTCTGCCCCTCCTCAGGGAAGTCACTGCTCCTAGTCTCCTGCCATAGGCTATTGGAGGCAGTGCCAGGAAGGACAAGGGGGATCCTTTACCTTCTGTCATTCTTGTTCTCCTCTACTGACTTTGGAGAGCCATTGCTTTGGAGCTCATCTGCAAACAGAGGGCCTGTTGGTGAAGAGGTGATTGATGCCCTCAGTCCAGGGAGAACAGGGCTCAAGTGACATGCATACACCATCCCCTTGCTGGCACTGCTGTGCCAAGAGGCTATGTGGCTAGGTGGGGGGAGGTATTGTATGTGTAGAAATAAATCCATTGAATTATTCTTTTCCTGTGGGACGTGCCCAATCCTTGTTTTTCCCTAGGGACTGAGCGGGAGGAGAAGAGTGAGGACTTTGGGGTATGGACTCTCCAAGCTTTTCTGCACACCCATGTAATAAATGTACAAAGCCAGCCCCCCAGGGCCTCGGTCTTATTTGTCACTGGAGTTGGCACTGCTCTGTAGGAGCTAGGGAGGTCCACTCCTCTTGCAGGAGCAGCGATGGCAGGGAATGGTACATGCATGTTGTGGAGTCCCATTCTTCTTGGACTGACACTGTGCCATTAATGAGGGTGGGCATCTAGGTCCTGCATAGCTGGGGGCCGAACCTGAGGTCACTTCTGGGTCTGGGCCACTGGGATTACAATCAAGAAGTGCAATGTGTTGCCACCATCACTGTGCTATTAATGTCGACCCTTGTGGTAAACCTGGAGCTGTAATGGAGCCTCAAGGGCAATCTCACTGGGTTCCTGGGGCCAACTGGAAGCCAGGTCAGCTGGGGAGCCAGATTCTTGAACCCCTGCCCCCAATTTTTGGGCTGGTATTACTCAACTAGTGTCATGCCAATGCACTCTCAGGTGTCCCCTGGTCTTTTTACAAAGTGTCCTCTGCCTACATAGGTACATGGTCTCCATGTTGTGAACCTCATATGACCTCTAGGAGGTAGGAAAGTGCTACTATCCCTGTTTTACAGAGAAGGAACAGAGCAATTAAATGACTTGTCCAAGGTCACACAGGAAGTTCATGGCAGAACAAAGAATTGAACCCCAATCTCCTCAATCCCAAATCTAGTGCCTTAGCTACAGCACCGTTCCTCTGCACAAATGCATCACAGCGAAAGTCAGGGAAGATGAGCCCAGCCTCTCTCTGGTGCCCCCTACCAGGTGAGTAATGAAGTGGCATAAGATCTGCATCAGGAGAAATGGGCATGCCCCTCTCCTATTCCAATAGAGTGTGGCTCCATGATGGGTCAGTGGGATGGGGCAGATTTTATAGCCCTGACTCCCCTCCAGACACAATGAAAAGCAGGTCCATTTTCCTGGTCTGACGCGGAAGGAATCTCCTAATGGTGGGAAGAAAAAAGCAGCAGATGGATGCATCCTGCTGAGCTGCACAAATGAAACCTGTTAATTACTGCAGCCTGACACAGTTATCCACGGGAAAGGCACCTGCTGTGGGGAGGAGGAGTAAGTTAAGCCATGCGGCCCGGGGTAGCAGTGAATACATGAGCTGATTTGATTTCAGGCCCCACTGTGGTGAGAGCAGCTCTGATCTTTGCTTCTGGGATGTTTGCTGGAGTTGTGGCCTCCATCAAAATAACGTTCCTTTAACTATGTGGAAACAGATGGGCCGCTGGGAATGCGGTCACCACCCAGTCTCACTGTAATGCCATTGCATTCCTCTGAGAAGAGAGACCAACAAATCCTAGAAGGCGTCTGAGTGCTATTAGCCAGGTAATTCACAACACAGCCTCCATGCTGCGTCTCCATGGAGCTGATTGCTCACCTTACTGCAACGATGCATCTCTTTACCTGGAAAACCAACCTGTTGCCCCAGATGCTGCTCTGTAACAAACAGGCCTAGGTGGGCAGGTCAGCCCTATTCTCTCTGGAATAGAGGAGCCAGAAACTTAGAAGGGAAGGTTTGGTCCCCTCTGCTTCTGGCTCTTTAACACTCCACTGAGTGCAGCTTTCATTGACTTCAATGGAGTTTGGTACCAGGGATGAGTTTGGCCCAGGGAGCCCATATCCAGAGGACGCACTGATCCGAGTGGCAATCCGGTTGATAAATAACAGAGTGCTGCTGTTACAAAATAACTGACAATAAACACAAAGTGCGGTGAGTTTTCTCTGCTTTGGAGGGGAACGCGTGGCTGATTCAGAGCTGGGCTCAGAGGTCAATCTGCTGACTTGCTGAAATGGCTTAGGGGATGAGAGCTGAGCAGCTGAGAGAGAGAAAGGTTTAACAAGACAGTAATGCCGCAGAGTGAGGGTCAAATATTGCACAAACGGGAGGCCAGATTCTGTCTGGGGAGGGCCCCATCAGAGGTTTGGTGTGAGCATCTGGGTATATCTCCCCAAACCAGCTCCATGCCATTGCAGAGGCCATAGGCTTTAGCGCACCTTGGTCCCTCCTAGTCTCTGCAATAGTGAACAGCCAGGGAGCTGGAATACGTCAGTCTAATCCCGTTTGTTAGGTTCTGTGCAGGCGTAAATGGGTGGGGTTTAGGGGCCTGTGCAGTACAGGTCCGACTAGATGATCTGATGGTTCCTTCTGGTCTTAAATTGTGTGAAACTCTTTGTTGAAATTCTGGCGGCTGGCCTGGTTCCCTGCTCACGCAGGCCATGAGCACAGGAAGGATTGGCTCCTCTTTGTGAATAACAGAAGTTGAATACAAACAAGAGGAGAGCTGGCTGGAAAATCAGCAGGGGTTTTCCCCATGAAAAATTTGGAACAAAACATATTCGTTCAACATTTTTCCACCAAAAAATGTCAAAATGAGACTAAGTGAAAATGTCTTTCTTATCTCAGCTGTGTCTATTGTTCCATACACAACAACAGCAAGAGGAAGAGACTGCATGGGTCCTAAATAACTGCGTACTGAATATACAAAGACTTGCCAAGTCTGCTGCCTGGGGTCTGGTGGCTTCTGCAACGTAGAACACAGTGTGCTGCACTCGAGGGCCTGCAGACTATTGAAAAGGACACTGCCTTAGTCCCATATGCTACAGTTTTTGGTATTGAAATTCGCATTTTGAATTCCATTTGAAAACTGGAAAATATGCAGCTTTTGTCCCCCTTCTACCACCACCACTTTGTAAAAACCGTTTTCTCCTTTTTTCAACTGGAAAAAATTGGGGGTGAGGGAATAAAAAAGGGAATGAAAGCAAGGAGTACCTCCCAGAAATAAGTTTTGGCTTTTTAAACTTTTTCCCCCCTATTCAAACATTTGAAAGGAAAATTAAAAAAAATTAAAAAGTGAGAGAAAGTAAAACTTTCCCCCCTTTCTTTCCCCACTGGAAAATTGGGACAAAAATTTTAAAAAAAACCAAACAAGTGAAAGTTAAACCCAAAACCTGAGAGAAGGTGGGAATTTCACCAGAATCTTAAAATGAAAAGTATAAAACATGCCCCCCCCCCCCAAAAAAAAAAGTCTGGTTGTTTTCTGAAATGTTTCATTTTAATTTTTTTTTAAAAGAAAAGTCTGTGAAAAAGAAATGTTTTCACCCAAAATCTAGTTTTTGACGAAGCTCTGATTTTAGATGAAAAATTCTGGTCTATCTGTGGAGGTTGGGCAGGTTCTGCTTAGATGCGAATGGCCGGTGAGGGAACGTGCTCTCTGGATTTTGTGTGCTGGAAGTGAACAGCTGCGATCTCTGAACTATATAGCAGGAGGGCAGGAGACTTTACCTGCATGTGGTGGGCAGCATGTGAGATGTTGGGCCTAGTGGAGGATCAGAGTTGGGTCTGTGTCTGGGCATATGGACCTCAATGTCCAACTGACCTCTAATTTGGAGGGCCTCATTTTTTGGGAATCCAGCTTTAGGCATCCACAGGAGAGGCTGTTTCTCTCTTACCATCCACCAGCTTTGTGAAGAAGGCGGATTTGTCACATGCTCCCTTGTTGTACCCAGAGAAGATGCTGTGGGAAATCATCAATTCCACAGGCACGTTCCACAGGAAATCATGATGTGGTTTAGCAGATGCTAAAGTATCAAAGGAGGAATTTATGGAGCAACATGACAAACTCATATGCAGGAAATCACTGGGGCTGGATGGTGTCACGTGAGGATGCAGAAGGGAATAAATAATGTGATTGCAACACAGTCCAAACTAGCTTGAGT